AAATTATGCACACTAGCTACAGGTCCTATTTTAAATCAAAACAACTGGATCTATAATCACCACATTGAATATCTGTTTATTTTACTGAACACAAAACTAACGTACTTCACATATAATAATACACTAACAACCAACATGGTCTTCACACAGACCACATGCTGTGCACCTCAGGTAACAAAGATACAAATTCGCTTCTAACGACATAAAATTGAAAATCTTCGAACGATGATACAAACTGATAAGTAGCTCTATACAGGTTAAATACTGTTTTAAAAAAATCTGAAAATACTATGATGGAAACCTAAACGTTAGCACCAGTAACTAATGAACTATACTACCACGAGAAAGTATCGCAAGCCTATCGACGCAGTCCCCTCTCTCCATGGCTACCGGTCAGTCCAGAGGACGGGAAGCTAAGAGGCCAAACTTGTTGTCCCGTCCTTTATTATGCTCACGACTTGCCAGATTTTTTCGCAAGTGCAGTGAAATCAAAATTATCGTTTCCACCTGACTACAGACAGACACACAGTCAGACCGACAGACAGACAAACGGATGGATAGACAGACAGAAAGACAGAGACCCACTATGGAGACGCCAAGTAATAATGTGAAAAAAAAAATTAAAAAACGAACATGTTTCACGCCCTTCGTCAGAATGTCATAGATTCATTTCGCATCCAGTCAGATTTTTTAATGACCTCTTCTGTCACCCTAACCCAATCTGAACTGGGTATCAGGTAAAAGCACTTTGAAGTTAAGGCGAGCGGAGTCATGTTGACCACATTCATTGTCAGGTGCCGACTGGTCTATAAAACCTGGCCTGGTGCGCCATTGGAATAATGACAAGGGGTTTATACTTTACTTAGTATTTTTTTTTTTCCAGTTCCAATTCCTTTTAAGGAAAACAATTAAAAACTTAACTAAGTTTTATTTGTGGTCTTGTTTTTTGCGCCACTTTCGAGGCTAAAGTTCTGGACCTAATGCTTCTTTCCTCCATGTCAGACCGCTCGTTCCTCTTATTGTCAACTGTTCTTCTTCTTGCCCTTTTATTTCTATTTCCTCCTTGGTTTCAGCTACTTCTGATTTGGCCGGACGTATTTTGTACGAGAGCCAGCTCTTTAACATAATGTACTTTGGACCACCATTTATAGTTTATACTTTTTGAATATTTTACTTCGCCAAAAAGTACTGAAAACAGTTTTTGGTTTTGGATAGATATGAAATGTGAAAATATTTCGCGTGTGACCAGATTGGTCTTATAGTTGTCTTCCTGCAAAAAGAACTTTTTAATCAATGGCATGGAGATGTTTGTGAAATAACAGGTGAAGCCTCACAGTGATTCTATCTGTTATTTGTTATAGTGTGGCCCGATTGTGTCGGTTTGGGTTGGGAGCTAGGCTCCATAATACATAAATACCAGATCCATGAAATGCCCAGAACAGCGATGAGGATTTTTGTGGCTTGTGGTGTACCGGACTCAAGTGCTATCAGGGGGAGGGGTAGGGATTGTACTCATAGTGCATCCGGAATGGGTAGGGAGGGGAGTGAGGGAAAGAGGGCGAAAAACCATTCAGTCCTTACTAGTCGTTGCCGTCTTGCTGGATTCTAGCGTGGCCGTTAGCCGGGATTATACGCTTCACGTCACCAGTCTTTACCATCCTAAAATTGGAATTTAACAATGCAGCTGAAATAGATATATTACTTGTTTCAGAAGTGTTATCTATTTCCAGATGCGGGCCTTGCGCCTTGCGTTGGTTTCGACAGTGGTGTCGAGAAGCCGACTGTCCAGAAAGCAGTGGCAAACTACTGGACGCAAATTTACCTAAAAAACCACAACAGCCAAAAAAAATGCTGAGGTAAAATGCAACGTCATATACAGGATCATCGAATGCCAAAGAAAACTAGCTGCGAAATGGAACTATTTAATTTGTGGGAAAAGAAGCATATTTGCTGGAGAAAGTTAGCTTGAAGGAAGTTTAGCCTTAAACAACTTTAATATTATAGTGGCACAGTAAAGCATATGACAAGTGAAAGCTGTAAATCTGTATACACGACATAAATTGTGTCTCTTTAGCCGCTACACACTGCGGAATTTACTTAAGATAGGACTGATTGGTTTGGTATACAGTATTTATGATTTGTCGACTAAATAAATAACTAACTTACACCATCTATCATTACATTTACTTTAATACGGTAAGCACTACTACCGAAAAGTCTATGGTTAAGCACCAGCAAGGAGATCAAAATTAGAATTTTGAGAGCATGCATCTTCCCTGTAGCAAAATACGGATGTGAGTCGTGAACTATCTCCCAGTCTTTAAGAAAGAGAATAGGGGCATTTAAGCTGAAATGCTGTAGAAAGATTCTCAGAATATCTTGGACGAAAAAGAGGAGGAATACTGACATCTTCAAAAATCTGAACATCAAGGAAGATTGGCTAATAAACAGCATCCTTTCCCGGAAGCTGAAATATTTTGGTCAAATCAAGCGCCACAGCGGATTGGAAAAAAATTATAGTAGAAGGCATGGTACCAGGAAGGAGGGGCAGGGGCCGACCAACATGAAGATGGGCACAGTATATAATTGACTCCCTGAGCATGAAAGTGCATGAGGCGGAAGAGCTGGCGAGAGACAGAGTTTCTCTCAGGCAGACCGTGATGAGAGCGACGTTCTGCAAAGGACCTGCTACATGAAGATGATGAAGCACTACTAAGAACTGGTCAAAGCAGCATCCTAATAGAATTTCGTATGTGTCCCGTCCTCCATTTGTTCTTAATATTTGCTGTAAGTCTACTTTGTCAAACACTCTTCCCACAATAATTTGTTCTTGTACCTTCAGCCACAAATCACTATTGAAGTCGACACTGGAATGTCCAGAAATGGGTGTCAGAGCCACGAATTGCCTCATCTGATGAAAGTAGGATATATAAGCAGCTTATTAAATTAATACTATGTTAATGCGTCGTCCCCATATGGGATGCAATTTTTAGGTATTTGGAACCACCCTGGCTTTTGCCGTGGACCCTAAATATATCCAGGCCTTAAATATGGTCTCGCGGCTGAACGGGGTTTCCGGGACCTCTTCATGGGTGAACCTCGTCTGCATGGTGGCACTTTGTGTTACCCGGTGTTTGTCGCTCTGTGTGATGTCTTTGTTGGGTAAATTTTACTTACCTACTAATACTATGTTGTGTCGGGCCGCGTTAGCGCAGTCGATAAGAGGCTCGCTTTCAAATCCAGCTGAGACTTGCGGACAGCAACACAGCGGACAATTCTTATCAGCTGTCCGTACTTTACCTTTTTTATGTGTGTGTATTTAATATACTTAACCATAGCTAACATGTTGAATGTTGAAATGAGAATCAACATCATAGAACTCTGGACACTCTTATTAGCGTTCCGTCTCCATCTTCAGCAGTAAACGAAGTTGTTCAAATAACTGTCTGTACATCTGCCTCAGGTTTCCCTTGAGTGTTGAGCGTCGGCCAGATCTCTAGGTAACTCGCCGCAGCGTCGTTCCCCTGAGACCGTAAACATCTAATTGTGTCTCCGCACTGTTCACTCTCTCCCAAAGATGCCTAACAACATCTAGCTTGTCATACATCAATTTATACAAGTTAACAGTTGACTAAATGCATCCGTTTATTTATTTATTTATGTATTTGTAAACACACGAAGCTAAATCTATAATTACCTCTATGTTTCCATAGTTATATTCACTAATAAGCTATTTAAGTCCCTGCCAAAATCTCTAGTAAAATCTCCCCGTTTCAGTATCCGTTTTTTTTTTTAAATCTCTGCTATAATCTCTAGTACAAACGCTACGTTGGTCGGGTGTATACTAACGGCACATAATAGTGCACTACAAAGAAATCCTTGAATAAAAACCACAAATCCATTACCGGGTCTGGATAAAACACCGGGGGAAAAAAACAGGATTGTCGGAGTGAAAACGGGACGTTTCGTTAGCCCGTGGCGGTGACGCCACGTCAAGCTGACGTCATCAGCCCCACGGCCATTACTGGAGTCGGTCGTGACAAATCGCAAAATCCATTTTTTGGGGGTTGTCATTTTAAAACTTCCACCCTGGCTGTTTTCGGGATCCTTATGTAGCCTAACGATTGAATTGAGTTTCTGGTACTTGTTCTTGATGATTCTCATCCGAATGGTTGCATTTTGTGTCGCTTGGTGTTATTCGCTTGTTGTTCGGTCCTGGTGGAGTTAAAAGTCAGTCAGTCAGTCAGTCAGTCAGTCAGTCAGGAAGAAAAAACAGTTGAAAAATAGACCAATACACTAGACAACATAAGAATCGGAAGCCATAGTTACCATACCGTGAATAAAATATGTCAGCTCCAAATGCCGACAATGCCTCGCTGCAGGAACGAATGCACGAAGAAGACTAACCAACTAACATCCCACCGTATTCATTCATTCATTGTCCTGTTGACATATGCTATGTCACATAGGGCTGTCACAGTCTATTTCTCTATTCCTTTCTATCCTGTGCAGTCACTTCCATATCATGGATGGAATCCAGTCCGGCACCTTTGGCTTCTCTCTTCAGCATTCGCCTTAAGGTTGCTCTTGGGACGTCTTCTATTCCTCAATACCCTCTTTTTCCCATTTCAGTGCTTGTTTGTCGATTCTCTATTCGTCTCTTTTAATGCGCCCAATAAAACACAATCTTCTTTATCCTATAACTGTTGATACTAGTGGTGAGGATTGACGGGCCAAACGGATATGAAAACTGGTCTGGTCTCTAATGGGGTCGACCGGGATCTAAACATAGGTAAAGTCATAGATTTTTTTTTACACGTCAGAGAAAAAAAAAAAATCATAACCTGCATAGTCCGTCGAGCTAGAATTAGCCATGTGGTCGATCATAAATCCTTAGGCTCAAAGACCACTTCCTCCCCCCCCCCCCCTTTTTCCCCCGGAAACGGTGGCTCCATCTGATATAGCACTCACCGTTTCGTAAAATCCTCTTAATTGTTGTCCCATGGTATGTAGGTGTCACGTGCAATGAGAGAGCAGTCCCTCTGGTTGGCAGTGCGACTATCAGGAATGGGCCGTCTATGTACAAGATAGACGTCATCAATGCCATTCGAGAGACTAAACGCTGTGAGGTTTTCAGTTTCGTGCAAGATGATTTTTAATGAACAGACGCACACCATGGTTATGCCCAGTCGTTACATCAACCAGAACAGAATGGGAGTTGTTAGCCCCAAAACACGCGGAGACATACTCAGAAGGAGATCGGAGCACTTGTGGTCATGTCCGATGTGCGATGAAGACGATCTCAAAAATAAACAATGAACAATTAAAGACTCATATTTGTATAGATCAATCGGCCCTTTATTTGTGATGTGGTTAACATCACGCCAGATGCCTTTATTTCCCAGGACTTTACCTAAGTTCAAATCATCATCGAGTTGGGTTTTTCTCAGACAAAATCCAGGAAGCAAAGGCGACCATCATGATATTAAGTTAACCACATGTTACCTACAGAGTTGAGTTGAGTCAAAAACTGACATCACAGCACTCGGCGCATTCCATGCTTTTTTCCAATGCAATGCAGAAGTTGGTGTTAGGTTGCTCCTGATGATGTCGCTCCATCTCTTGCGTGGTTTCCCCCTTGCTCTGTGTACACTATATTTCTTCAGCGTGGCTCTCTGTGGCAGTTGGTACTAGTGCATTCTCGCCAGGTGGCCAAACAATCTCATTTGTTGTTCTTTAATGAATTGTATGACTGGTTTCAGTCCAAGTCTTCTTCTAATTTCTTCATTCCTGATGTTATCTTGTCTTGTCACACCCGCAGATCTCCTAAGACATCGCATCTCTGTTGTTACGATCTTACGCTTAATAGTTGTAGTAAGGATCAATGTTTGACACTGGTAGCACAATACTGACCAAAAAAAAAAAAACGTTCTTATGAGATTTTCAGCTTTACTAGTCGTAAAAGTGAGACAACGTTGCCAGCTTTTGTGCTGAAAGTGATCTCAGTTTTGTCTTGTCCAACACCAGACCAAAAGTAGCGTCAACCATCACAGTGATATCTGAACACCAGTAAATTTGAAGTTACCCTGGTAAGTCACGTGACTACACCACACTCCGAGACTTGAGAATCACCGGATCCCCTTCTTTGTAAGCAGACGGAATTTATCGTAAAATTGATTTATGTCGATGTTTTCTCTAATCTGAACATCAATTGTTGGTGATTGCTTTTTGAGACTTTGATTTATGTCGATGTTTTCTCTAGTCTGAACACCGATTGTTGGTGATTGCTTTTTGACACCTTTTTGTTAACAGTGCTTAGGCTTTTTTTTTTTTCAATCCTCTATTAAATCTCTTTGTTTTATTTGTTTTATAAGGGCGAAAAAGGTGGAGGGGGAGGGGGTGGGGTGCTTGAGGTTTCTTGCCATATACCCATAGAGAAAGAGTGGTTTCTCTCTTTTTCTCTCTCTCTCTCTCTCTCTCTCTCTCTCTCTCTCTCTCTCTCTCTCTCTCTCTCTCTCTCTCTCTCTCTCTCTCCCTCTCTCTTTCTCTTACAGGCATGTGAGAAGGTTATGGTATCTCTGTGCACAGTATCATGACTCATTTTTCTCAACCCTGGGATGACCCAACGTTCACACAACAGCAGCTGGACAGATTTCTAGAGGCTACCAAACTCTACAGGTAGGATCCTGACTCTTGCATTTAAGTATAATAATGCCTAAAATGTCATCATCATTAACTTCTTCTTTCTCTTCGTCGCCTTCTTCTTCTTCTTCTTCTTCTTTCTCTTCATCGCCTTCTTCTTCTTCTTCTTCTTCTTCTTCTTCTTCTTCTTCTTCTTCTTCTTCTTCTTCTTCTTCTTCTTCTTCTTCTTCTTCTTCTTCTTCTTCTTCTTCTTCTTCTTTTTCTTCTTCTTCGCGTTCGCCCTTAAAATAGCGGTTGACACGCCGTGCTGTGGTGTTTAGGGAAACTGGCGCCTTCTGTGACAACACATCCGATTTCAGCACATCCTTCATTGCTCGTCTTTTATGACATGCCTGTTAAGGAGCAAGGTACTTTCCCACCCCCACCCCCCCCCCCCCCAACCCCACATTTTTATTTACAATGATATACTATACCTTAGTTCCCCCCCCCCCCACCCAATCACCACTTAGACATTTGTTACTCAGGCTGCCCAATGTACTCACAACATTCGTATCAGGAAAAACCTGTTCGTTTATATTACAAGAAAAACTAGTGTAGCCAAATATTCGTCATCTATGGCTTAGACTTTTGCGAATGCGTTTCGTAATTTCGAAATTTCCCGTTCGATTCTAGCTGTCGGCCATTTGGCAGCAAATCGCTTTGCGATGATTTCAGCGATGATATGGAGAGCCGACTGTTTATTTACCAATGGCAAATTATTGACCGTAAAACTGTCTCAGAAAAAGAGGACGGTGATTGTGTGTGTGTCGTTCAACCCCACCAGGACCGTACAGTTGAGATGATTTGAGTTGGTTCAAGAATCGACATCACAGCACTCGGGACATTCCCATAAGCGCTCTGTTCCCATCTTCAGCGGCCAGGGAAGAGTTCCGATACTAATGGTGCCAGCAGCATTCTGATTAAACGTCCGTCTTGCCTTTCCTCTGAGCCTTGAGCATCTGCCAGAACATCTCGTCACTCTCCCCTGCATCATTCTCACCGTACAGGACGGTACAAGAAGCAACCAACGCTCGTTGACTCAAAGTGTTACCATTCTGATGAGGATCACCCGGACACAAGTCTCAGAAACCCCGTTCAACCGTTAGATTAAATTAGGGCCCTCGGCTACAGCCGATATGAGGGTTTAAAATAACGAAAAATTGCGTCCCGTACTGGGACGGGAATAGTATCGGGCACGGATCTGCAAGAGTTTCAAGGAAAGACAGAATACGAAATCATGAAATCAGAAGAATGCTAAGAATAAAGCCAGTCTTACAGGTCATCAAAGAACAACAAATGAAGTGGTTTGGACACCTAACAAGAATGCCGCAACGAGCCACACTAAAACGTTACAACAGGTATAGAGCGAGTGGAAGACCTCGGAAAATATGAAGTGATGGCATTAAGAACAGCGTCACAGAAATGAACATCAGTCCTAATAGTGCTCTTGACAGAGCTCATCAACGAATGTTACATCTCCCCCCGACACTTCGATGAGATACAAGGTGGAAGAGAACGAACGAACGAACAAGAAGAAGAAGATGTTAACTTTTTGTATAGCAGAAAAAAATTCGACGTAGCATTTCATACTTTTCTTTCCTCATACACTAACATGTAAATTATACTTCAGGTCTCAGGGTATCAAAGTCCACGTTGCCAGCTCTTCTGCTATCATCAGAGGTTATGGGACAGACCTAGACTTTGTTAGACCAGGATCACTAATATATGGATTACTGCCTGGTAATATTATTTGATATCATCGCCTTTTTCTAATATTCGCTCGAATCCTCAGAATTATAACTTTAGGATTATGGCAGGCGACCGTTGCTTAGGGTTTGTGAACACAGTTGTATAATCCCGATATACTGGGGCTTGGTCAGCTGAAGGCGATTTGGAAGAAGACCGCCCTTGTTTGGGTTTAGGGACACTATGAGTGTTGTATCGGTAAGAAACCATGACAGCCTGTTGAACGTAAATGTCTCCTGTAAAACCACAAAACAACCAGTATAAATGCTCTTTTGTCGAATTGTAAAGAAACATACACAAGGACTGTACTTCATATAACATTGTGGGGAGAGGTGGGGGGGGGGGAGTTGAAGAAGAGGAGGGCAAAGAAGAACCTGGAATGATAACATCAAGAAATGGACAGGACTAAGTTATCATACACTTATTCATCAAGATAAAGACAGACAAAGTTGGCGGGTTTTATGTGCTAGTGCTTCCATCAATACACCTCCACGACCCTAAGGGGTCAAGGGTTATGTTATGTTATGTTAAGATATGATAAAGAAACATACACATACTGCAATAATGGCTAAACAACAGAAGGTGTGCTCACATAGAAGAACCCATAAAACCCACAACAGCACAACAGACCTGGACGTGCAAGAAAGGACAGCAAGAAACTGATAGAGACACTAAGTCATTTAATATGGTACACAAACCCAGTTTTAGCCAAAAACAGTTGGGGCAAGAAACACGGTCACAATTATAACCCAAAGCTTCTTTTTCAGAAGGAACTGGTTGACCGTGACGATTTCTTTTTCTTTTTCTTTTTTTTATTTTTACCATGAACTGCTGCGTGGATTGTTATCATGGTATGGGGCGTCGCAGGTCGACACAGCCTAAAATAGGTACCAGGATGGCTGTCCTAAGCAAGTAAAGACGACTGGCGTAATGCTGACCACATTACCCACCTAGCGCCGATTAGTTTGTAAAAATATGGATTGCTGTTCCCATAGGCCCGATGTACCTATGGCGTGGAAAAGGGATCTTTACTTTACTTTACTTACCAAAAACTGAAAGAGAAAGAGCTTTTTAGTCATTGTCCGAAAGTCGCCCGAGAACGGTCTTTTTACTAAAACGTCCGCCATGATACTTCGAAGATTTTCAAACACGCTTGGTTTTCGATGCAATAAACAATAATTCAAACTAAACCGCTCCCTCCAAACTTTAGAGCAAGAGGTTAAAAGGCCAGAAGCGGCAGGTCTCTACTGATTATTCAAAGAAATAAACAGTCTAGAAACCCGTAGGGCCGTAAAAGCACAAAATAAATAGGTCGACCTGATAGCCAAGATTAATTTTGAAAAATAATGTCTGGTTCCGTTCGGATTAAAACCCGCTGCCTTCGGATCCACAAGTGAGTGTCTAACCGCTACACAATAGCGGCTGTCACGGGCAGGTGCTGGGTTTGCTGAAATACGCTACATTTGTTACTTAATGTTATCTCCATACATTGTAATAAGGCCATTGAGAAGGCTATGTTTTGTCGTTCATTGTATCAAGCTCTGTACATTTTCCGGTGGTATTTCATGGAAACAAATACTGTCCAATACCGAGATTCTGGAAAGGCTACAAATTAAAAAAGAATCTCTGTCAGAAATCAAATTAAGAAAAGAGAGACAATTGAAATAAAAGACATTATACTCTTTTTAAAACCATACTGGAGAGAAAGATAGCAAGGTGTAGGCAACGATACAAGTGGGAGGACAACATCAAGAGATGGACGGGCAGCAGTCTAAGAGAGTGTACAACTAGGTCAAGAGACAAGGCGTGTTGGAGATCCATTGCTGCCAACCTTCACTGTGAATAGGGCACCATTCCCCCCCCCCCCCAACCGAGGTACGTAAGGATTATGTTTTCTAAACTGACTATTTTGATTTCTTTGCTCTGTTTCTTGTCATGATTCCAACACTGGTTTTTCCAGACTATAAGCCACAAGTACTGTCGATCGTTCAAGCACTGGGGACCACCCCTGCACTTTCCTGGCTAGCAAGACCGTGTCTTGTTAAGACTTTGGAGGCAGGAAGAAAAGTTGGATACAATCAAAAGTTCAAGTTAATACTTAAGAAATAACTGCGCACTTCATTATTCATCGTCATAATCACAGTCATCATCATCATCAAATATGTCATCATATCTTAATTCTCTTGAATTCACCCCGTTTATTCTTTTTTCTTATTCTTCTTCGTGTTCACGAGCTGTAAACTCCGGCGGAAAGTTCTTGCTGTCCATCCAACTCTGGACTTAAGACTTGTTTCAGAACCTGGGTGTTGAGTACACGTCCGTTTTACATATCTGACTTATTTATATGCAGACTGTTCGTTCCCTGCCTCTCAGGCAGATGCACTCTGACTTCAAAGGAAACTCCTAATTAGTCGACTCTTTCGACATGCTTGTTGGGAAGGCAGTGGCTATATTCATGTTTTCCCCACAATGGGGTCCCGGAACCATAACGGGGAACCCCATTTAATGTTCATCGGTTAATTTAGGCGGTCGTTTTTGAATGCATTTAACTTTCGCTCAATGTAATTGATGTCTCTCAAACTGTACAAGCCCTTTTGAGAAAAAAATGAAAAAGTCGACCACTTTCAGACTGCTGCTAGCTAGCCGAGGCTGCTAACAGTCTCCGCCTATATTTGTGGTCTGGGTTATTTGTGTCACTTTCGTGACCAAATTCGAGTATTTAAGCCATTTCTGGACTTGATGCTTCCATTCCGATTTAGACCGCTCGTCCTCCACCCTGTTGTTACTTGTGCATGTCTTTCCTTTTCTTTCTTGGTGTTTCCTGTTTGTTTTGTCTCCCTTTGATTTGGCCACTCGTATTTCGTAGGAGAACGGCTTTCAAACCGTCACTGGCACTTTAGTCGATGTCAAGGCAGCTGGCCACATCATTCACTGAGTGCCGATTGGACTATTTACAATATTAATCTCCAGCCTGTGGCGCTAATGGTATGAAAAAAAGATTTGATGAGTTAAGAATCGACACTGCAGGCTCAACTACCACATGCATAAAATAAGGACTGTACAGTCCCCACGGTTTGACTGTCAGACAGGACCACAAACACCAGAGCGTGTGGGCGCATTTTGCATACCTGCCCACTTTACCAGCAACTTCGAAAAGAAACCTGGCCTCAATAGCGAAATGCGCAGAGCAAGCTACGGGGAACCGTGAAGGACCAGAAGATGATATGCGATTTCATAGAGGGTCTGACATGAGCATACGAAACTGAACATACAGAAGAAGAAGACAAAGAAGAATCTACATTATAGCACACCGGACATACAAATGTCTTAAGATCTAGATTTCTGACTATTTCCTTAGTACACTGATTGCGGTTTGAACAACAGATCAACACATGGCATACGGATAGTAACCCAAAAGTGTTCCCTTCTTCTTCCAGTTCAAGTTTGAGTCCGAAGAAGCTCAGCACTGTGCATTGGCTCCGTAGCACAGGCGAGGATCCTGAAATATTTTGGGTAGATTTTCAACTCCAAATTTTGCCTGGGCAGAGCCGTTAGGCTACGTTTTTCGATTCCCAACTGCCAAGGGATTTTTTACGTGCCTAAAAATGCACACGGGCGCCCGATATCACTATCCAGAGACCAGGAGGAATTACTAGAAGTCCAAGTCTACGTGAAAAAAAATCCCAGCCCTTACCGGGGAATGAAGCCGGAACCTCTAGCACTTGAGGCGGACACCATACCTCGAGACCACGCAGCCCCTCTAGTACACTGATCATAAACTGATTCTAAAAAAAAAAAAAAAAAAAAAAAAAATACTATCATTTACTTACTACATCAGTAGAAATTATCACTGCCAGATGGTTAGATATGCCCAGTAGCCTAAATGATTAAATTTAACGCCAAAGCAAGCATTATAACCTACTTTACTTACTTTTTTTTTTTTTTACTTAGTCGCTCCTTTTCTACCTTGGGCTGTAGAGGTTTGCCAGAGAGATCTCTGTCAGCAGTTTTCTTTATGGCTTTGTTCAATTCCAGTTCTCTGTCAGTTAGGGACTGTCGGATGTTGTCTTCCCAATGCACCCTGGGTCGCCCTAGAGGTCTAGATCCCTGGTTCTTAGCCTCCCATGCCTGCCATGGTGGCAGATTTTCGCCCATACTGCATACATGTTCAAACCCTCGTAACTGTGACTGATCCACTCGGGTTTGTTAGGACTGGGTATCAAGATCTGATGTATTGTCTGATTGCGGACTTTGTCCCTTCTTGTCATTTGGACCACCTTTCTCAAATAATTGATTTATTAAGCCTGAACTGGCTGACTTTCTACCCCACTTAACATCACACAAGCGATAAACACCCGATGACACAAAGTGCCACCATGTGGATGAGGTCACCGTAGAGAGGTTCCAGAAACCGCGTTCAGACAATTGGCCCTATTTATGGCCTGCCTATATTGAGGCCCTTGGCAAAAGCCAGGGTGGGGCTTCAAATAACAACAAATTCCATCCTTAAAAGGACGTATGGAATATGTTATTAAGCCTGAAGCTGGCTTCTGTGAGCTGTTGTCATTACGCATAACTCACAGCCATAGGTCAAAACTGGTACATCGGTAGAGCGGTAAACAGCCATTTTCTACCTCTTGCCAATTTGTCTTTTGCTAGGAAACCCTCTGCATTATAACCTAACATAATCAAATTGAAAACCTGTCCACAGGCTAAAGAAGCGAGAGATCATTGCCACTTTCAGCTTTGGGTATGGCGATGGCTACAGTACACAGCTTTCTGGACATGGCGTGCTGACCGATGTGAACGGTTAGTGGGGTATTCTTTTCCTTTATTCAACACCACACTACCTTTCAGCATCTTCATACGTTTTGTTTGCTAAATATAATGGATGATGTCAATGTGTTTGTAAGGCTGGATTCCGCAGAATTTTTTTTTATAGGGTGAATCCTGTCGAATAATTAAAAATATCTACTGAAATAGTTCTGCTTTCATTCAGAATCTTGTTGCGCATATACTCATGTGTATGTCTGTATATATATATGTATATATATATGTATATATATATATATATATATACATATATATATATATATATATATATATATATATATATATATATACGTGTGTGTGGTGTGTGTGTGTATGTGTGTGTGTGTGGGTGTGTTGTGTATACTGTCAACAAAAAATAAGCGCAACTTTTAGAAAACACAAGCCAGCCCAGTGGCCAGATTTTCGATCTCCTTACTAACTATTTTTGTTTCACTGGTCATGTCAAGCTTCTTCAGAACAACCCCAATATTCTAGATTAAGTCGCGCGATGTCTTTCTCTCCCTCGATCACTTGAAGTTGTTCGATCTCCTTTCGTCTTACTGTACTTGTGCAAACACATCTGACGCAACATATAATATGTGGTAAATGAAAGTGAAGCTTGATGTACTTCTTCTTCGTCATCTCTTCCATCATTTACATCAGCGAGGTATTGGCGGAAGATGTAAGGATCGTATGTGCGGTTTTTCCAATGCATTGTACAAGTTAATGTTTATTTCTGTTAGGTTGCTCCTGATGGTGTCGCTCCATCTCTTGCATGGTCTTTCCCTTGCTCTGTGTTTATTAAAGTCCTTCAGTGTTGCTCTCTGTGGCATTTGTACTACTCTAGCTTGCTGCTCGGTTAGGTTAGTTGCGTATCCTTTACATGACGTTGCAGAAACAACCCCAGCAGCCCCTGGCTGTTGTGTGGTTTCTCTAGTAATTTGCCATTGCTTTCTGGACGGTCGACCCCCTGATACCACTGTCAAACCCAACGCAAGGCGCATGGCCCACAGCTGGGATCGAACCCGGCACCCCGGCATTACGAAGCGTTCGCATCGACTTAGCCACAGAGCCAACACTTGCTGCTCGACAAGGATAATTAACCTGAAAGTTCATAAGATCATCAGTTTCAGGCGTAACCTGAACTTTACTCACATGCTAACAGAGATTGAGCAGGGGGAAATCAACAGTAGTCAAAACGATATTTTTGGCAATAACTCGTGGCTGGTTCACAGCAATCGCGGGAAATTTGATGAACACACAACTCACTGACCATGCCATTGAATGCCTTTAGCAGAGTCAGTCAGTCAATCAGCAGCACGTCCTTTGCAAAACCTTGCTCCCATAACAACCCCTCGCAAGATATCCCTGTGTGGGCTCCGGGGCCATATTATATGGAAAACAAGAATAGACCCACTGACTACATAAAAGCTTGTAGTCAAAGTCGACTAATTGGGAGCTTCCTTCAAAGTCGGAGTGCATCTGCCTGAGAGGCAAGGAACCAGCAATCTGCATACAAATGAGTCAGATCTGTCAAACGAATGCACACTTAACACTCAGGTTCTGGAACAGGACTGCCAGTCCCAGGTTGTGGACGAACAACCAGAACTTTCCGCCAGTTTACAGCTGGTGAACGCGAAGAAGAGAAGACAAGCAAGATGTCACGCATCCAATACACCATGCTGGAGATCATCCGCAACATCCTTAACCCATCTTCTCTTTGACCTTCCTCTCCCTCTCTTTCCAGCCATACACCCGTCC